GAAGCCACGTTATCAATGTCTTCTCCCTCTCTCATTTTGACATCTCAACATGCCCAACCCAACCCTCTTTCCTCTGTATTTATCCCTTTGAATATCCCCTCCAAAAATCTCTCCACCAAAATCTAATCTAATCTATCCAAGTGGCACCACTATCCCCCACTCCCTCCTAAATTATTTATAACTCCTATTTATCTCCTAAATTATCTCTAATTCCTATTTATTCTCTCCCCCACTTTTCATTTATATCTATGTAAAGAAAGTTTGAATTAAAAAACTTAAGAATTATTTAAATATTATAATTAAATTATGTAATAACTTTAAATTGCATTGGATCAGTACCCGAGGCCTCAACCTAAGGCCAATTTGAGTTTAGTTTAGGCTCGAGTTTTTTTTTTTTCTTTTGGCTTAAGCTCATCTTTAAGTTCAAAAACTCAAACCCAACTTGCACAAAAGTTTTGATTGAATCGGGTCAAGCTTGAATTGGGTACACCCAACTTGCAACCCTAGCTCTATTGCTTGAAATTGTTTTAATAATTATTTAAATATTATAATAAAATCATGTAATAACTTTAAAATATTTATTAAAAACATAAAAAATATTTATAATAGATTTAATAATATTAATATTATTAATAAGTTTACATTTTTATGAAATTCATAAATATTAAATATTTAAAACAACTAAATAATTATATGACAAAATATTTAATATTATGTAATAACTTTCAAATAAATAAAATTTAAATAACAAAGATTTTAAATATTTTACATATTATTTAAATATTTAAATAACTAAGCATTTTAAATAATGAAATATTTAACATAACTAAATTTTAAATAGTTAAGATAACAAAATTACAAAATAAATTTAAACATTTTATTACAAGTAGAAAATTCATTATAATAGATTTCATAATATTTGAATCAATAATGAAATTATGTAATAATAGGATAACTTTTAATTTTACGGATTATGAAATTCAATAAATAAGTAATGTTTAAATAACTAAGTAATGAAATTATTTAAATAAATAAATAATATTGTAAATAACTAATTTTTAAATATTTTAAATATCAAAAAGTTTAATAACTAAATCATATTTTAAATATTATTTAAAAATAAAATAGATTACATAACAAAATTATGTAATAACCTTAAAAAAATTATCTAAAACATAAAAATAATTATAATAGGTTTAATAATATTTGATAATAAGAATATAAAATATAAATAATTTATAATTTTATAAATATTATTGAAATCATGAAAATAGATTAAATAATTTAGAGGTATTGAAGCTTTCAAATAACAAAGTATGTGTTTAGTTTCGTTTATGTTTATTGAATAAACGTTTGTACTTTATTTGCTGGTAAAACCGAGAAATGCAATAATTACAACCGTTTATGACAAGTAGGCGCCACCAGGCTCCACATCAACGTAACAGTGAAAAAACGTCTGGCCGTTGTGGAAGCTTTAAAAAATAACTTCCACAAACGGTTGACATGCACAAAAACCAAAGTTGACTTTTTTTTTCATTTTCGATGCATGTAGAAGAGCAAGAGAAAGAAAATGCTGAAGTGGTGCCTATGTGGCACCATCAAAAAACATTTACTGAATAAAAGCAGAACCAAACACCCTAAAAATAGGTGGTAACTTTCAAAAAAAAAGTTTTTAATAGATATTAGAAAAATAGAATAATAATTGCAATTATTAATGTGCTAATAATAAAAATATTATTAATAATTCTAGATAATAACGTCCAGAAAAATTGATATTTATTAATAATAATTTTAAAATCATAATCTATGTTTATTATATATTTATATATACTAAAATTTATATTTTTTTTATTTTTAGTAATTGTTTATTATATTTTTTTGATAAATATATCAATCTATTTTTGTTTTGTTATTTAATATAAAGTTTATATAATTATTGGAGATTAAACTATCGTTATTTATTAGAGATTAGACTATTAGTTTAGCTGAAATTAGGAGTGTTCACGGGTTGGTTCGGTTTAGTTGTAGGTTGTTTGGCCAACCAAATTGGCATAGTCAGCAAGTTGGGGAGTTGTCACGTGAAACCAACCAACCATTAGAGAAAACCAACCAACTCGGGTTATATTGGTTTAGTTAGTTGGTTCAAAAGATTTAAACTTAAAATTTTAAATTTAAAAAATACAATGGTATTATTAAAAAATAAATTAAAATTTTTAAATTTACAATATAAAATATTTTAGACTAAGAACTATGAGAATTTTCCCATTTTCTCATATTAAAAATTTATATTTAATATATATATATATATATATCAAGTTGGTTTGGTTTTGGTTGAAATGGCTAAACCGAAGTTGACCGAACCTAGTAAGGTTGGAAAATTTCTTAATTAAAATCCACCAGAAATACTAGAAAATCAACCAACTTGGGTCGAGCTGGGCCAAGTTGGTCAATTTGGTTCATCAATTTGATGAACAACCTTAGTTGAAATTAATTATCATTATTTTTGTATTGTAAAAAATTATAAAAAGTATTATATAAATATAACTAGTTATTAATTATTTAAAAATTAAAATAGAAAATAATTGGCTATGCTTCTATTGTTTAGCTTTCGCTTAACAAAGCCTGTACATCGCACGGATCCCCACTAGTAATCACTTATTTTTAAACAACTTGCCCTACCTACACTTTTTTTTAAGCCTATCAGGCACACATATAACAAAAAAAGATTACATCTCTTCTTCTACAACAAATTTAATGAAATTAGGAACCAACAACCAAGTCATGGATGACGGAGCAGCCTTGCCTAAGAGCAAAGTGAGTAAGCCCATTCCTACGCCTTCAAGTTTTAGGCTTCTATGACAATATGGGGTGAGGTGGCCATATCATAAACCAAGATTGTTGGAAGCTAAAGGAGAGGCACGAGAAGAGAATCATGTACAATCATGTATTTCATGAGGTGAATCAGGCTACAAATTGGCTGGCCCACCATGCACATGAAGTCCAATTGTCAACCGATGGTTGTGTTTCTTTCAACGTATGTAAGCTTCCTTGGCCTCTTGCTTTTATTTGTTTAGTGACTTATGGGGACACCCCCATCTTGTATAACTAGATTTATAAAAAAAAGGGGAAAATTCCACTTTAGTACCCTAAACTTTCAAATGTGTCACTGCAACACCTAAACTTTCGAAAAACCTAACTAATGGTTGATTAATGACAGGGACCAACTTGACACTTTTTGAAAGTTTAGGTACCGTAGTGACATGTTTGAAAGTTCGGATACTTTCTTGACACTACCCAAAAGCTCAGGGTACTAAAGTGAAATTTAAGAAAAAGGTAAATTATAAAGACCCCCATGTACTATGGTGTCTATGACAAAGACCCCCTTGTACTTTGTTTTGTGACAAAACCCCCCTATACTATGACTGTGAGACAAATACCCCCTTGACCGTTAAGTCAGATGACGGAATGCATTAAATTACCAAAATACCCACTAAATTTTTTCTATTTTAATTTTTTGCCCCTTTTCTCCTAAAACCTATTTAACCTATTGTTTTCCCTTTCTTCTCTTCTTTTCCCCTCTCTCATTCTTTCTCTCTCCCAATTCTCCAAAACGAAAGGATAGAAGAACCCATTTCTCATCTTCTCTTTCTTCTCTTCCTTCTCTTCTCTGTCTCCAATTTCGTCTCTATAATCATACTGACCACATGTTTTTTGCATAAAGGAAAGGAGGACAATGAGAAGAGCGAGCGCTGCCAATACTCCAAGGATTATTGCCACCGTCTTTCCGATTTGGTCATCGGTGGAGGAATCTGCAAGCAACCATAAAAAGCAAAAGTAGTAAGGGGAATTTTTCGCAAGTCTACTTGACGCCTTTCTCTCTCATCCATTGGTTTGTTGGGGTGCGATGAGAAAGCCAAAAAAACATCTTCATCAAAGAAAAGGACATGCAGACACATATACGTATCTTTAAGAAACACTATTTAATTATTTCGATATTTGAATGAAAGTGGAGAAGCTAATTACTGCCTTGAAGGGAAATCTCTCTCTCTGAGATTTTTCTGAGTTTTCTACTTAACACACTCACAAGCAAGGAAATACAAGGAAAAATGCAAAAGAAGTAGTACGAAATTATGAATTACACCTGAAGGGGAATCGTAGTAGCCAGAGGCCCAGTATCGAGCATAGCACTGGGCCAAGTAGACATTGGTTGCTGACGCCGACCCACATGCATTCTTCAACTTCCTGACAGCTTCCGAAAGACATGAAGAACAATCAGCAGAACTCAAATCCCCCAAACACTAAGCAAAACCCTCCCTGCAAGTCAGCAAGAACATCGTCCCTGCACTTAAAGAACTCAACATCATTACTAGTATCACGACTGCATTTTTTGTATACCAGTGCCATGTCGAGTTTCCCCAGGAAGTTGGCATTGTCATATCTTAGAAAGCACCCTTCTAACTGTAAACTAGGCTATTGAGCAAGGGCACACCAAACTAATCTGGCTAACGGCGTTTTAGACACACCATGAACAGTCACTTGTCTTCAAATCACCTCTGCATTGGTATAGCCCATAGACCGCTGCATCCGCCAGCATTGAGGTGCCATTTGCCACTGTAAAGCTGTTGTTATAAGCAGACTGAGAGGCTGAGATTGCAATGGAAGACAGTAGGGAGTTGAGGTTGGCTTCAAAGGGTGAGCTGGGTTGGTATTTGTCTGGAGAGCAGCCCCCGTAGATGAAAGTATGAGCATTGACATGGTGAGAATGGTTAGCGAGGGAAGAGAGGAACAATAACAGAAAAAATATTTTCTTCAGAGCCGAGATGGGATTGCCAGAAGAGTGCTGATGAAGGCTCTTCCACACTTGAATCATTAGAAGGATAATATGGGAATTAAAAAATATTGCAACGGTTTTTTTGGACGAAGGCTAACAGAAGGGGTCTTTGTCTCACACCATCCCCCCACCCCCACACTAATAGACTCTCCATTTTGGTGCTTTAATGCGCCAAGCCTCTTAAACCCTGGTTTGAATTCCAAAACCCTCGCAAGTCGCAACAACCTTTACATTTTGCTCTCACCAAAACGCGACTGACTAGTGACTACTGAGAGTGAAACCGAGAAGATGGCTTGGCGCAGCGGGTCGCTTTCCAGGTCGTTGCTCTCCGCCACAAGAGCTCATTCTTTTCGGTGCCGGCCGACGCTTCCCCACCTCCGCCCGCCACCACTTATCCCTCGCCCCCAGCCTCGACGCTTTGCTTTCGCCAATCCAAGGTAAACCCAAATGTTAAGAGTATAGGGTTTTGCAACCAAACATTTCTCATTTCTCTTCATTTGATCCTTTCTGAAATTTTGACAGGACAATGGGGGAGTTGGGATGCATTCAATCGCTCATGCCCCTGCACAGCGTAGTGGCTGCACCTCGCCTCACATCGCACCTCGCTGTTGATGCGCGTGCGTGTTGTGAGTTGTCTCAGGGTACCTTCTGCCGTACTTGTCAAGATCGCTAGTAGTTTCTTTGTGAGTCTTACTGTTTCTAGGAAAAATGAAGGAAACCAATATTATCATCTTTTTCATCTGCCTTTACTGTGTTCGAAATATTCTTTTTCTTAGGGTTCGATGTTTTACTTTGGTTCTTGTTTCATTTTAATGGTTAATGGTGCGTTTCCTTTTGATTGAATGACTAGTAACTTTGTAAGTTAGCTAGGTTTTTTAATTTCAAAGTTTCGTTAATATGAAGATGTTGAGTTTGAGATTATGAGTTGGAATAAAGTGAAAATTATGATTTGGAAAGAGAAAGCATGAAGGTTCATAGGTTCAAGCTAACCTCTCCACTAGGAGTATAGGATCTATAGATGCATTTACATAGGAAAGGAATTCATTTTCCCTTTTTCTGAGTAGAACCTCCAAAATATGGACCACCCTAGTCTCAAATATATCCTCTAATTCTGTCTTCCATATTTAATCTGTGATGATTCTCAAAGCCACTAAATTTATGTCCTTAATAACAGATCAAATGTCTTAGCCATCTTATAGAGTACAGATACGTGGTTCTTAAATTCCAACAGAAAGCAATTGTCAATGCAAGCATTGTGGTTTTATGGTAATGAAAAAAAGTTATGGACTACTTTGTCCAAACTAAATTGTTTTTCAAATCCATTATTAATGCTCCACTCCATCCAAATCTTTTTTCTTTTCCTCTAATTGATAAAAAGGATTTGAATGGAGTATTGACAATGGCTTTGAAAAACAATCCAGGAGAAAGTACTGCTTAGGTTGGGCGCAATCCCCTTGACTATATGCTGTAATGTAGATATAGATGTGTTTCAAACAAGGTTGATGCTAGAGGTTCTAAGTTCACCTTCTAGGATCAGTTTGAGTCAGGATGAATACAATGGAGAAGGTAAATGATCCTGGGATATGGGCATTTTTGCAATTGGGCCAGGGTAAGAGCTGGAAGAAAGTAACAACAAATGTTCCTTCCAAAAATGAACCTCAAGCCTGTTGTAACATTGTAACAGACAAGAAATAAACAAAGGGGAAGTAACAAATATCGTTGAAGTAATTTCTTTTGGTTGTAAAAAATATTTCATTAAGCCAACATAAAGTAATAAGGTCTTACATATTGGTATTGGTTTTACTTTTCCACCCATTTGTAGTTAGTGTCATAACTACAATTACATTGTTGGGGCTAGAAGGTCCTCAGGAATAGAATAATGTTTTGTGGCTCAGGTAGCCATCACTCATCATGTATCTATTATCAAGGTTCACATTTCTTACTTCTTTTTACCAGGAAGCATAAATAAAGGTTATTATGTTGTGCCCTTAAGAGGATAGAACAAGAATTTGTCTGAAATGGTTGGATTTAATTTTCTAATGTAGAGGATTGATTCTAGTCATTGACACTATTCAGCCAAGACTATAGCCTTGCAAACCAAGATAAATGGTCTTCCTTCTATATCCTAAATGTGAGGTATTACAGATCTTGTTGTTGAAGATCTTGGAAACTAAAGGATTTTCAAATGGGTATGTGGACCTAATTAAGAATACACTTAGGGTGCAGCAATAGGAGAGCAGATTTTGCAGTTATGATGGGTCTTCACCAAAGTACAATGCTTAGCCCTTATTTATCTACACTTATCATAGATGAATTGATTAAACATATTAAAGAAGAATTACATACAAAATTAAGTTGTGGACATACCTTAGAAACATAAGGTTTTAAAATACATAGGACTAAAACAAAATATGTGCTATGTAATTTTAATAATAGAAGTGCAAATATGGGTACACTTCAGATTGGAGACCAAGAGATAACTCGATTTGACATTTTAATTTAATAATAGAAGTGCAAATATGGGTACACTTCAGATTGGAGACCAAGAGATAACTCGATTTGACATTTTTCCGTACCTTGGTTAAATAATTCGTAACAAGGGAGAGATTGAGGAAGATGTTACCCATAGAATTAGAGCAGGAGGGGCAAAATGAAAGGGTGCATCTGGAGTCTTGTGATAGGAAAATGCTACTTAGATTATGTTAAAAGGCTGTTTATAAGTTGTGTTCTTTGTTTTTTATTTCTGATTAGTTTCGCAGGGGTACTATCAGTGTTTTAAAAGCGCAAGGCGCAAAAAAGGCGCAGGGGCCAATTTGTACCCGAGGCGCAAGGTGAGGTGTGCGCCTTTTTCAAAAAGGTGCACAGAATTTTCAGGAAATGTAAAAAAAATGAAAAAAATACATAAAAATTTAAAAAAAAATCAGAAAAAATACAAAAACAATACTTATTTTTTGTTCTTGTATCCCATATTCCCATTTTATTGCAGATGTACATAGTACTGTGTTAATTTTTTTTTTTATTTAATGCAAAATGCAAAATCAAGTTATTGCAGATGTACATAGTCCTCCTCACCCCCTCCCCAAACCAAACAAAAAAAAGCTGGAAGAGTCAACAATGTCATTAGCTGACTAAAGTGTTTGTTCACCTGAACAAGTTATTTAAAAGAAGAATCAAGTTCTTGTGAAGCCCACAGTGCTTTGTGAAATAGGAAATCAAATACTCCAACTGTGCTGCTTTTGATGAATAATACTGATAAAAAGTTCTATGAAAAGGCTGTTTGCTGTTTATTCTTTTTTAGAAAAATTCAATGTTACTGATAAAGAAATTCAGAATTTTAGTATTTTAGTTCCAAAAGGTTAGGGTATATTTGCTGTTAATAATGATTGCAAAAATATGCCCTGTTTTTCGTGCAAAACTGCAAACACAGTGAAGAAGATGAAGCGGAGCCCCTATTTTGGTGCAAACACAGTGAAAAAGAAGGGTCGGAGCCCCTGTTTTTTGGTGCAAACATAGTGAAGAAGAAGAAGGGGAGGAGCCCCTGTTTTTTGGTGCAAACAGAGTGAAAAAGAAGGGGTGGAGCCCTGTTTTTTGGTACAAACACAGTGAAAAAGAAGAAGGGGCGGAGCCCTGTTTTTTGGTGCAAACACAGTGAAAAAGAAGAAGGGGCGGAGCCCTGTTTTTTGGTGCAANGAAAAAGAAGAAGGGGCGGAGCCCTGTTTTTTGGTGCAAACACAGTGAAAAAGAAGAAGGGGCGGAGCCCTGTTTTTTGGTGCAAACACAGTGAAGAAGAAGAAGGGGTGGAGCCCCTGTTTTCGGTTTAAAACAGCAATGAAAAAAAAACAATGAATAAGGAAGAAGGAAGAGGAGGGGCGGAGCCCCTGTTTTTAGCGTAAACCAGAGAGCAAAAAAGAGAAAAAAATAAATGAACAGTGAAGAAGGCGAAGGGGTGGAGCCCCTGTTTTCGGTGCAAACCAGAGGAAAATAAAAATAGAAACGAACTGGAAGAAGAAGAAGAAGAAGAAGAAGAAGAAGAAGAAGAAGAGAATACCTATTTTCGATTGAATATGGCAATATGCTGCTCTTCCTCCTGGAGTTCAAACATGCAATTGCTGTTCTTCCTTCCTCTTCCAGCCTTTCGAAGAAAACTGTTCGTCTCCCTCTTTTTTTTTTCTTGTTTTAGGAAGTTTTTTTTATACTTTCCCCCTCTATTTTCTATTATTTTTACTATATGATATGCAATAGGTGTAAAAAAATAATCTATTAAATAAAAATATACACTCTGTCCAAAATTTTGAAAACGTTGATAAGGTGCTCACCTGGGCCGCCTGGCGCCAAGGCGAGCGCCTTAGCCTGGGGAAGGCGCATGGCCTGGAATGTGCCTCGCCTCTGTGCCTAGGCACGCCTGAGGCGCGACTTTTAAAACACTGGGTACTATTGTAATTCCCCATTCTTTATGTTATGTTATGGCCGTCCTAATATAAATACCAAAAAGCTGGTGCCACCAGCAACAGTTTTTGCTCTCAGATCTCTTTTTCTCCTCTCTCTCTTTCTCTCTTCTCTCTACTTTTCACTTCCGCTTCTGGACAAGATGGTAGCAGGCCCTCGCCTGAATATGGAACAGATCATGAATCAGCAAGCCTAGAGAGAAATGGAAGACGAGAATCTAGCCTTCGAACCAGAGTTTCTTTTTCTCCCTCCCATTCCTCGCCTATCTTTCATTCTTTGCCTTCTCCAAATCTGGGTTCTCATCTTACTTCTTCCCTTTGTGTTTCAGGTATGAACGGAGACCTATCCCAACCGTGCATTAACCCAAGAACCTACAAAAAGTCAGAGGAAAGCCAGCTCAGTTTTGATACACAGACGGGACAACAATCCGGGAAGAGAAGTTACCGAAATGGCCAGGAAATTGGGGATAAGCAAAGAAAAGGGATAGGACACAAAAAAGGGGGAAGAAGCAGATCAGAAAGCTGAATTTGTGACCATAGGCAAAAGGACCTCAAAAAGGGAGTTAAGGAGACTTCAATGGGGAATGTCAGATCAAAAAACAACAAGGCCTAGGGCGGTTAAGGGAAAATCAGCGATAGGAGCTCTATGAAATTATTAAGCTGGAATGTCAGAGGGTTGGGAGGCCAACTAAAAAGAAGCCTGGTAAAGGAATCCTTGAGAAGAGAAAAACCAGATATTGTCATCCTTCAGGAATCAAAAAAAGAAGAAGTGGATAGGAAGCTTCTGAGAGCAATCTGGGGAATCTGTGGCAAGAAATGGGTCTTTCTTCCAGCTTTAGGTGCCTCAGGGGGAATCATCCTATCATGGAATGAAGAGGAGGTTTCCCGTACTGAAATAGACAGAGGAAAGTACTCAATCTCTGTCCTTTTCACCAATAAGTCTGATGGATTCAGTTGGATTCTGACAGGAGTTTACGGACCTAATGCACCTTAAGACAAGCAAAGTTTTTGGGAGGAATTGGATGCTCTCCACGAGTTTGATGGAATCCCTTGGGTTCTAGGAGGTGTTTTCAACGTAACAAGGTTCCCTCAAGAAAACTCCAACAGAAGAACTACAACTAGAAGCATGAGAGGATTCTCCAGTTTTATTTCGAGGAACAATCTCTGTGACCTTCCTCTCCACAACGGACAGTTCACTTGGTCAAACCTTCAAGAGAATCCAATAAGCTGCAGACTAG